TTCTTGGGCCGTCCTAAAGAAGATCTCGCATCTCTTAAGCTCGGCCGAAGATCTCGTTGTTGTTGTCTCTCTTCTCTTCTGTTGTGGCGTTGTGCCATCAAGTCCTCCCACTACTGCTGGGGATTCTTCAGAATATTTTGATCATATTGGGGGGTATCCCGAAACCCGAAACCCGAAACCCTAAACCCTAAACCCTAAACCGTAAACCCTGAACCCTAAACCCTAAACCCGAAACCCGAAACCCTAAACCCGAAAGAAGGATTTGTTGATTCAGCCAGGCACTCCGTCGACCTTCTTCCCAAGCCCTAAACCCCAAACCCCAAACCCCAAACCCCAAACCCCAAACCCCAAACCCCAAACCCCAAACCCCAAACCCCAAACCCCAAACCCCAAACCCCAAACCCCAAACCCCAAACCCTAAACCCTAAACCCTAAACCCTAAACCCTAAACCCGAATCCCTAATCCCTAACCCCTAACCCCAAACCCTGCTCCCCAAAATAGGAAATCTTTAGCACAGTGGTCGTCGCGGTAGTCATGAGTGTGACAAGAATAGCAAACATTGTCATTGGTTTTCTGCCTCGATAAAATGCTGGCCTTGGGGTGCGGTCTGAATGGGGTTTGGGTTTTAGGGTTAAGGGTTAAGGGTTAAGAGTTTAGGGTTTAGGGCTTACGGTTTGAAAGTTTTGATAAGGAGAGGTGCTGATATGGATCAGCTCGGAATTCTCAGATTCCTCAGGAGTGGAAGGCTTCCTCCAGCTTCCGACGCACTGGAGCCACAATGCCCCAAACCCGAAACTCCGAAACCCTCAGCCCCCAGACGCTTCACCCCAACCTTTAATCCCTATGGCTGTTTCCCCTGTTCCCCTAAAACACCCAAAGTACTCCAATCCTTACTCTAGGAATCCTAAACAGGATATCCTCATGTTCGGGAACTCTGAATCCACTGGCCCTGAGGTCGTACAATCGGCGTCAAGAAGGATATCAATCAGGGCTCAGGTCGTGGTGTTTTTATAGGGTTCTTAAGGGAGGGGGGGGGGGGTAGGTACCTAGGGGTAATATCGTTTTGATTATGACTATTTAGTATTTTCATTACTGGTCTTCTTCTTTTTCTTCTTGTTTTTTGTTCTTCTTATTGTTATTGCTATTAGTGTGTTTTTTACTTCTACGAGTTTTATTACTAGATGATTATGTTCTTTTATAGGCCTATACAATGTGTATCTTCTATACATGTATATACGTATATATTAGTACATGTAGTTCACGAGATCAAGCCTGCTCTGCCGCAACGGTTTGCCTACAAACGGGTCATACTGAGCTGCATTCGAGCAGGCCGATGGCGTCTGCGCACACCGGGGCTTTGCAGAAGCAAGACAACAAGCGCCTAATATTAGAATAGGGATTTGGGGGGTTATTACAGTATATTTATACAGGGGCCCTAAGGGAGTACTATTGGTAATTACTCCGACCTCTCCCTTCATGACTAATGTCCCGCAACTACCAAAACACTCAGGCTGGACACACCAATCACACGAGCCCCGCAGCAATGTTCCACCCAAGCCGCTCCCCAGCACCTACGTGGAGGTTCACGGATTTATAACTGTACTTATTCCCCAATTATAACCCAATTAGGGTACTTAAGGACTGTACTTATAACCCAAGTATAACCCAAGTAGGGTACTTAAGGACTGTACTTCTAACCCAATTAAAACCTAGAGTACTTAAGGGGCTTGTAAGTGGGTTCGAACTACACTTCTAGTTGGGTTATAAGTACCTTGAACCTCCAAGTATCCCCCCCCCCCCCCCCCCCCCCCCCCCCCCCCCCCCCCCAATATATTGTAGCAACAAGAAGCCTCGAGCCCAGAAGAGTAAGGGAAGCGCAAACTGGGGGAAAGGGTAGGAACCAGCTATAACCAGCTATGAAGTAAGCCTTGATCCTGGTGCCGAGCAGGACGACTATTCCCTCGATGGCAAGAACGCGACGAAGAACGAGGCGGGAATTCTCAGAAGAGGTTTAGGGTATAGGGTTTAGGGTTTAGGGTTTAGGGTTTAGGGTTTAGGGTTGCGAGAAGGGTTGCGAGTTTGGGCCCTCAAGGGCTACTAGAGGGTTGTAAGTTGTGGAGGGTTCGAGGTCCGAGGTGTAAAGCTCGGAACCGCAAAGCCCCGGTCAGAAAACCATGTAACTACTCTTTGAGTATGCACAGCTGGGCCGAGCCACGAACGAAGAAGTACTCCCGTGCTTGACAGGTGTTTAACCTGCTCGAGAGTGCCGGATTCACAAAGCCCCCCGGCCTGTCAATCGCGCGGTGTTGCGGTTCAAGGTCTGGCGATCCTGATTTCAGTTTCTTCAGTTTTGCAAGCTTGCAAGAGAGTTCTGAACAACTCTGAAGTCCAACCTAAGGCTCATGTTGTGAGTTACTGATCTCCCGACGCCTGGACCTTGAAACCTCACAGATCTTGAGACCTAAACCCCTAAACCCTCCCTTCAGGAAGTCACAAGCTCACCTCCAGGAACAAGAGTCAGAGTATTCAGAATCATAATGGTAATCCGAAGGCATGCTCATACGTCATCAGCATCACCATCCCCGTGCAGCCGTTGCCCTTTTGCCAAGACGCCTAAAGCGTTGAATCAAACATCAAGCCCAGGAGTAAAAGGCTTCTTAGCCCTGCAAGCCCTGCGAACCCTGCAAACTCTGAACCCGAAACCCTGAACCCTAAACCCTAAACCCTATATCCTAAACCCTAAACTCCCTAAACCCTAAACCCTAAACCCTAAACCCTAGACCCTTAGCCCCAAACGCGGCAAGTCGCGGGACCAAGGGCTTCCAAGCCCAAAACTAGGTTTAGGGACGGGGCTGCCTTTAGGGTTTAGGGTTTAGGGTTTAGGGTTTAGGGTTTAGGGTTTAGGGTATAGGGTTTCGGGTTTAGGGTATGGGGTGTAGAGTTCAGGGTGTGGGTTTTTCGGGTCTCGGGTTTAGGGTAGCTATTCCTGTTTGGAGGTTTACGTAGCTGGTGCTCGGGTTTTTAGGATTAGGTTTCAGGGTGCTTGAAACCTTAAGTGCCCGACGCCCTACGCCCAAATTCGAAAGCCTAGGCTTCGGGTTTAGGGCTTAGGGTTCTAAACCCTAAACCCTAAACCACCTGAATCCGAAACCTGCCTGCAGTGAGAAGCTCGGATTGAATTTTGGACTCAGGCCATTCCACAGAGCCTGCCTGCTGTGCAACACGACTCCCCCTTCCCTCCAGCATCCCACACCGCAAGGCACAAGCGCCCCCTAAGCCCCAAACCCTAAGCCCCAAACCCTAAACCCTAAACCCTAAGCCCTACTCCCTAAACACCAAACCCTAGACCCTGAGCACCGTAAACCCTGTGCTCCCAACCCTAAACCCCCAAACCCAAAGCCTTCAACTGAGCCCCGAGGTCGAACCCGTACTACATCGTGCAGCAGGGGAAGGTCATTTCCTATAAGTGTTCAGGGTTCAGGGCTCAGGGTTTAACATTTAGGGTTTAGGGTTTAGGGTTCAGGGTTGGCCCTTAAGCACCTGTAGCTTGACATGATTCAAAAGTCAAAGCAGAAGCTTTTCGAAATTTCCCGAAACTTTCCCCGGACCCAAACCCTTATTAACTTCAAGAGTCTCTAAACCCTAACTACCCAGGAGGGCCCGGAAACCAATGCGCAAGCCGAAGGGCTTAGAGTTCAGGGTGTAAGGCTCTGAGAGGGCCCGAACCCAGAACCGTACTTGTACCGGACCCCCTGAACTTTCAAGCCCTCTGAGTCTTGAACCTTCATCCCACAAACCCGAATTCCCTGAGCAACCCTGCGGGGTCCTCAATGGGTTTAGGGTTTAGGGGGGATGCGCTTATCAAGATGGGGGTTCAATTGCTTGGTTGGATTCGGTATTTTGTGCTCCACTTATGTAGAAGTTGTATGGTGCTGGGCCCCAAGCTGCTCTTCCCTGCAAGAAGGTTTGGGGTTTTGGGTTTAGGTTTTCGCTAGGGGATTTTAAGAGGTTTCAGGGGGTTTAAGTTTTTTGGAGTTGAGGGAGTTTAGGGGGGTTGGGGGGAGTTTAGGGTCTAAGGGTAGTTTCATGGGCCCTTCATGTGGTCCCTTACCTTCTTTAAAGGGTTCTGAAGTATGGGCCCTTGGGTTGTATAGGTTTGTACGGGGTGTATAAAGGGTCCCCCTTCTAAGGGCCCATGCTAAGGGACCATGTCCCCTAAACCCCAAACCCTAAACCCTAAATCCTAAACCCTAAGCCCTAAGCCCTAAACCCTAAACCCTACACCCTAAACCCTAAACCCTAAACCCTAAGCCCTAAACCCTAAACCCTAAACCCTAAACCCTAAACCCTGGGAGCTTCGGGGAGCTTCGGGGAGCTTCGGGGACTTTTTGGTGGCAGGTGGCCGAGCTGACTCTGATGGACGACCGGCGACGCCTGGAGCTGCTGAAGGCATGGCTCCCCCCCAAGCCTGCGGCCTCCCTTTGTGGCGAAGCTGCTTATTTTTGTATGTTTGTTATTGTTAGTGTTTTTGTTGTTCTTGCAAAAATAGAAAATCTTTTTAAATTGATGTTCTTGTTACTATGGTCTTGTTTTTATTGTTATGATGACTGTTGTAATTATAGTTATAAATATGTTTATAATGCGAACCATTATGTTAACTATTCTTGTTGCGATTATGATTATTAGTATAATAACAATAAGTGCTATTATTATTAGTTATTGTTATTATTAAGTATTGCTAGTACTATTCTTCTTCTTCTTATTATTATTATTATCATTATTATTATTATGACTAGCATGATTTATTATTATGATTATTATTATTATCATTACTATCATCATCATCATTATTGTTATAATTGTTTTGTATTTATCTTCATTATAAATGATGACGATGATGATGAAGATGATGATGAAGATGAAGATGAAGATGAAGATGAAGATGAAGATGAAGATGCAGAAGATGATGATGATGATGATGATGATGATGATGATGATG